TTTCCTCTGCATTCCCAGGTTTATTAGGGAGGTAGAAGGAAAGTGGGGCAGCCAGGACTCAAACCAGCGCTCACACGGGATGCCAGCATTTCAGGCACTACACCACAGCACTGGCCAGCATTTCAGGCACTACACCACAGCACTGGCTTCCTTTTTAAAGCCTGAATAATATTCCACTGTATGTAAATACATTTTGTTTACTAACCATTCATTCATCAATGGACATCTGGGTTGCTTCTACCTTTTAGCTACTGTGAATTATGCTACTGTGAACACTGGTGTACAAACCCTCTATTCAAGTCCCCACTTTAAATTCTTTTGCATATAATTTAGAAGCAGAATTTATAGGATCACATGGTAATACTTTCCTTTTTTTATTTTATTTATTTACTTGATAGGTAGAGTTACAGAAGAGGGAGAGACAGAAAGTCTGCTAGTTCAATCCCCAAAAGGCTGCAATGGCCAGACCTGGGCCAATCCAAAGCCAGGAGCCAGGAGCTTCTTCCAGTTCTCCCATGCAGGTACAGGGGCCCAAGGACGTGCGCCATCTTCTACTGCTTTCCCAGGCCAAAGCAGAGAGCTGGATTGGAAGAGCAGCAGCCAGGACTCGAACCAGCACCCATATGGGATGCTGGAGCTAAGGTGAAGGCTTAGCCTACTACACCGCAAGGCCGGCCCCTCCCCGCCCCCTTCTTTTAAAGAAACCATTTCACTTTCTCACCAGGAATACACCAAGACTCCAATTTCTCCACATCCTCACCAACACTTACTTTTGTCTTTTTTTATGAAAGCCATCCTAAATGGATATAAAGTGACATTTCATTATGGTTCTGATTAGCATCTCCCTAATTATTAGTGATGGTGAGAATTTTTTATCTGCATGTTGGCCATTTGTGTATCTTCTTCAGATAGTTTTTAATCAAGCTGAAAAGGACGTGTTCAAGTGAGAAAAACTGCTCAGGTACTCTGGCATTCCTGCAGCATGAGCTGCTTGCATACTAGAGCAGAGCCCAGACATGCTGAATATCACAAAGCGTTGGCTCATTTCTCTAAAAGTAGTCATACTCCATAAAAAATGGGTTTGGTTCAACTGAGTCCGTCAGTTCTTAAATGCAGGTTAGTGGAACCAACCTACAATTCCCAAGCATAGCAGAAACATTCAAGACCACAAAAAAATGTATTATATCTTTCCCAGGGGCAAGAGCCTTTATCGATTTAATTTTCACATAGTGCCCAGAGACTCCATTTCCCAAGATACTCCCTATGGAAACAGTAGTAGTAAGTCTAGGGGTGCAGGGAGAATTACCACCACCAGAAGACAGCACATTCAGCGGAAACAGCCCACTAAAACTTTGTGTTTGGGGCACAGTTCATGTAATTACCGTATCACTAATGGGCAAAACTTTCATGAGCTCATACTGTCAAGAAGAGTTACTGTCATATCAGCCACTGAAACCTGTTCATCCAAAATCAGCAACTCTCTCAAGCAATTCCTCTTCAATAAGATTTGAATTTCCAAGACCAGTTTTGCCCTAAAATCACTAAAATCACTGTTAGCCAAACAGCCAATACTGTTAAGTAAAACCTGATCCCAATCTACTTCAAGTACTGCTCAAAAAGTAAAAGGGAAAAATATTAAAATAAACTAGTTCCAATGCCGTATCAAGAGGATCTTGACTGTGCTACCTATCTGCTTGCCTGCCTTTATTCATTATTTATCATGCACCAATTTAATGCAGAGACTCTTCTGGGTGCTTAGCACACACTATCAGGGAAAAAAAAAAGATCTCTGCCCTTGTGAAATGGATACTAAGTACTCCAGTGTCCTTGGATTCACATGAGATTGGATAAATGTGGAACATACCAGTAATCTGTTTTTGTTAACTCTGTCTGCAATAAATCTGACCAAAAATGTTATCCATAATTTCTAGCATAGACATGTGAAAATTTAAAGTATAGAGAAAAAGTTAAATGCAGTAGTCTTTGTGAGCACTGTTAAATAAGCATCACAAATCCTTAAAAAAATTTTTTTCAAGAATTGATAGTGAAAACAATTGCACCTGAAATGATAGCCTGCATTATTTTGGCCACTCGGTCCTTCTACACAGATTTCAAATGTTTTAACAATCAAGCGACAAATCGTAAATTTTACAGTCCTTTATGCTTAGAGAATGCTCTAGATTAAAACAAACCCTAGTCAGCTGACATTTTTAATGTCTTAAAAGTATTACACATTGAAAAACTTTCTAACCTTCTGCACATTGCCAACTGGCTACTTTAGGTCACTTAGACATGGACTGTCCAATATGGTAGCCACTAGCACATGCGGCTATTGTGGACCTGAAGTACGCATAATCTTAACCAAGATAAACTCTAAGTATAACTTACAAACAAGAGAAAAAGAATGTAAAATATCTTAATAATTTTTAAATCTTGTTACACAACAAAATAGCATTTTGGATATGAGTTTAAATATATTAAAACCTAACTTTTTTGGACATGGTTATCAAAAAAAGTTAAATTATATATGTGACTCACATTATTTTTTTTTAACAGTATGGGTTTAAGACAATAGACTTCCATTCCTGTGCACAGAGCTAGTACACAAAGCTTACAGTATTCAACATCTTACATATAAAATATCAAAAACTTTTTTAATGTTTCTGTCCCTCTGTTCTTGGGTGGTCTTGTAAACACAAATATAATTCTGTGCTTGGATTTTATACTTTTTACTTATTAATCTTCACCTTTTATCTGAAAAGCAGGGGGAGATAAGGGGAATGGGAGAACGCACCCATGAGCCATCACCACCTGCTGCCTCCCAGGGTCTCCACTAGCAGGAAACTGAGCCAGGCCTGGAACCAGGCACCATGAAATGGACGTGAGCGTCCCAACCACTGGGCCAAATGCCACCCCGCAAACATTTTTATATTAAAATGCTGAAAATGTCAGAATCTAATGTGAAATTGTTTAGCAGAGCAACAACAAATTTCTGGGAGACCGGTGTGTGCAGGATGTTCCGTCTGTGAGGTAACACGTTCTGCCCCACTTCAGAAGCAGAAGGGCCACGTACTCCACGCACAGTTTATATGCACTGTGCTCCTAGGAAGCGCCTGGCACCACGCAAAGTGACTGTCACTAACCCACAAATCCCTCACAACTACCCTACCTGCCAGATCTCATACCCAACACTATTTAAAGGGGGAAAAAAAAAAAAGAAAAACCCGGAGCAGAGAAAGGTTAAGTGACCTGCCAAAGTCACACAGACAGTAACCCAGCAGGCTTGATCCAACGTCCCCCACATTTTCCCAGTATAAGGACCACACAAAAAGAGCACGCCTTTACCTTTACAGGGCTGAGCTTTGGAATGGGTACACAGCCACAGAAAGACCGAAGCAGACCACGTTACTGCTTTTCTTCCTACCCTCCACCCCTCCCAAGGCAGGTTAAAGTTGGCCACAGGAATTAAATCCCCAACGACGGCAGGTCCGCTGTGTCCCCCTTTCCCGGCCCTCTGGTCCAATTCCTATCTGTCCCGTAGACTTCCTCTCAGATGCAGCCCCACTTTCACGCCCCACCGTGACTGTTCTCACTGCAATGTCCCTCAAGGGGTCTACTGTGTCCCCCAGTGTCAGAAACAGTGCCTAGCGATAGGTGCTCAATAAATATTTGCTCATCAGCCTAACCACCTGACCCACCCAGCAACAGCTAAAACCGGAATATTAAAAGCACACTTGGTGCTAGGGGTGCTAACCCACAAAGCAGAGAACACAAGTTCTGAGTCTCACAAATGTATGAGAGAGAACATTATGACACTCAGAAAATAACGACTTTCCCCCAAAGAAGGTGAGTCAAATATCTATTTCAAATAATCCCTTGTCTAATTTAATTTCGCCACAGTTTGTTCTGTGAGAATGAAGTGAGTAGCCGATAAATACATGCCATAAGAAATCCAAACCAACGATTTCAGTAATGCTACAATTTGGCTGAAACCAACTTAATTTTGACACTTTGGTCCAACTCAATAAAGACTGCAGCTCTTTTTAAAGCAGTCCCAATACTAAACTAGTTGCATTGAACAGCAGGTTTCATTGCACTGCCCAGTGCTGAGCACTGGGCTCCAAGTGACAGAGGCAGCCGAGCAATCCGCCGTGTGTTGGGCAAGAGGCTGGGTTTCACGCACACTTACTACTTGAAAACAACTCGGGTTAGTGCCACGCAAAAGGGACTTTCTTAGCGCTTTTCCTTTCTTTTCCTAAACGGGAAACCTATTTCAAAGGTCAACCTATAGCTCTTACTTCCACACCAAGTAATTCTGAAACAGGGGGTGGGCTGCGACTGGCAGAATGGTTTCCTGTAAACCCAGCGTCGAGTACAACAGGAGGGCGAGTGTGTGTGTGTGTGTGTGTGTGTGTGTGTGGCTTCACGCCTTGGGGTCTGAGCACACGAGCCGAGCATCGCCCCCCGTCGCGGCCAGCACGCCAGGGTTCCACCCCAAGCACCACGAGTCTCCGACTGCCTGACACATCAATGGATTAGTCAACGCAGGCAACGCACTTTTCCCCTCTAATTTGCCTTAATTATTCCTCACACAAACCCTCAAGTTTACTCTAAGGACCATATGGAATCCTGTACAAACCCAGACCCCTTCCCAAAGAGCCACCACGGCTTCTCCCCCAACCACTCAGATGGGTCCCGAACGATATCCCACAGGCTGGGCAACGCCACACAAATAGGAAAAAGCCAGCCCAAGTCGCGGCCAGAGCCGTGGGTAAAAGGCTGCCTAATCCTAACAGCAGGCACTGGGCAGGGACCGGATGGAAAGCAAGGGAAGACCCCGCCCCAGCCAGCTCGAAGCCGATTCAAACAGCAACTTGGGGCTGGCGTCTGGGCTCGGAATCGCCGGAACAAAGGCGTATATCACGGGAAGCAAGATGTCTGGGGCGAAAAGAGACGGCTCGCAGCGGAGGGAGCGCGCCCCGTCCTCCCGCAGCTCTTACCTATGGTGGAAATAAAGGTGGTGTTGAAGGCATCATCCGAAAAGCGAAAAAGGACGCAGGTCTTGCCCACTCCCGAGTCCCCGATCAGGAGCAGCTTGAAAAGCAGGTCGTACGTCTTCTTCGCCATTGGGAGGAGCGGCTCGGGCTCTCGCCGCCGGCGGCCCCAAGGGATCGGTCCCGCTCACCACGGCCAACTCCTCTCCCGGGCGTTCTCAGGCCGGAGGACTGGGCAGGCGTGGGAAAGCCGCGGGCTGGCGAGGGCAGGGGCGACCTACGAACGGCCTCGTCCGGGAAGCCCCGACGGTGGCGGCGTCCGGTGCCTCCGAGGGCGGCGACCGCGGCTCCGCAGCCTCTCCCAGCCGCTCCTCCCGGTTCCGGGGAGTCGGTCGGGACAAAATGGCCTCCCCTCCCCCCTCGGGGCTGCTCGGCCGGGACGCTCCCGCGGGCGGGCGAGAGAGCTCTGCCGTCGAGGGAGCGCTTGCGGGAGTAAGGGCGGTGTCTCTCCGGAGCGGCGACTCCCCGCAGGGACGCGGCGAGGGCGGCGAAGCAGGACCCCGAGCCGACGAGCCCAGCTACATAGCCCCAGGAAGCCGAGCCGCCCCGGCCAGAGCCACCTTTTCCCCGTGCCCTCTCACGCCGGCGTGCGCGCTGCCTGGGACGCACGCAAGGACGTACGCCCGCCCTTCCCTCGCGCCCTCGCCCTGCGGCCCGCCTCTGCGCACGCGCGCAGGAGGGCGTGGGCGCCTGCCGGGGCGGAGAGCCGAGGGCCCGGGTCCCCGAGCCTCGGACTGAGTCCGAACAGAGTTGGGGAGAGGGGAGGAGCGAGAGAGGGCGAGGCCGCGGGCGCGCTCCCTGCGGCCGCCTGATAGGGTGCGCGGCCGTGCGAGCACGCCCCGCGGCGGGCGGGGCTGGCTGGGGACTGCGCAGGCGCGGCGCGGCCGAGTCTCCCGTGGATGCCCCGCGCCCCCTCCTTCCCGGGGCCGCCCCGCGGACCGCGCCGCGCTCTGTGGGGCGTGTGGGGCCGTGGGTCTCGGCGCGGCGACCTGCCCGGGTGGCTGTCGGGCCCTGTGTAGTCCATACGTGCGAGCGAGGGGAGCACCCTCACGGTGTAAGGGGCTCTCGGCTCGGACGCGGTGCCTTCCTGGAGGCCCTCCCTCGCGGCCGCCGTGACGGGGAGAGCTCCGCCCCGGCTCCCTTAAGGAGCCAGAGGTGGCGTGGAGGAGAGGGGCCGTCTGAGATGCGGAGACTGGCCTCGCCGCTCGGGGCGCGCTGATGTAATCGGCCTTTCTGGGCGAGGAGGCGGGGGCCGAGGAACACCTGGGCGCGGGCGGCGGGGCGCCTGCTGCGGGCCTTTGCGGGCTCTGCCCGGCCGCAGGGGACGGCGGGGAAACGCGTCCGCTCCCCGCATTGGTGTTTGCACCCCCTCTTCCTTTCTTGCCGCCGGTAGCGGGTGCACTCGGGGTGCCCCTCAGTCCTCACGGCGGCCGAGCTGACAGGTTCGCCTACACCTGACAGCGTAGAAAACCGGGGACGCGCGGACCGCAGGAAACGCGGCCTGGGAGAGCAGCAGCGCCGACATTTTTCCTCGGTCTCAGCATCGCCGAGGCGCTGGTGCCTCCGACATGGACCTAAAGGGCGTCTTTCAGGCAGTCCCGGTCATCCTGCTTCGGTCTCCCGTTCCTGAAAGTCGTGTGTCACCTGCTGTCCTCCCAGCGGCCCTAAGGCCGGGTCCCTGAAGATGCTGGTCTGCTTCGCTTGGGTTATTTGCTAGCGCTTCTTTGTCTTCTGGCTTTTACACGCTCGGAATGATTCTTCCTCCAACTGGCACGGTCTTGGGCTAAGACCAACAATTCTAAAATAGGCTAGCTATGCAAATCAGCGAGCCGCGTGCGGCCAGTGCCTCACACCCTGTCATCTCTCAGACGCAGGACGTGGAACCTGGGAAGATCTTCAGTGTTAGCTTGATTGTTCCTATTGAAACAGGCTCGATTGTAAAGCATCTTAAAAGTGTCATGTTTCTTTTAAATGTTTATTTACTTGGTTGAGAGCGCTGCTCCCATCCTAGCTGTCCATTCCCCCCAAACACCTGCAGCAAAGCCAAACTGGGAACTAAATCCGTGTCTCCCAGACGGTGGCGGGGACTCCTTGAGCCACTGCTAAGTGCTGTCTCTGAGGGTCTGCAGTAGCAGGAAGCTGGAATTGGAAGTCAGAGCTGGAAATCAAAGCCAGGTACTGTGATATGGGACGCCAGACAGTCCAGCCATATCCTACCCGCCAGGCCAAACGTCTCCCCCGCTATGATTTTTTTTTTTTAATGTAGAAAGTCTAATGTGGAGAGTAATACCGCTACATAAATATGGGGGTACTAAGGAGCTAAAAATTAATTTTTTAAAAAACCTTCATTCTTTACCCCAGTTGTTTCCAACAGTTTTATCAATTAGAACCTTTTCCTCAGAAACCATATTCTGAAACTTCGGGAATAAATTGAACTTAATAATAAATTTTACTGGGTCAGGATCATAGAAGTATAGAGCTGTCATTTTTTTTTTTTTTTTTTTGAGACATAATTCGGGGCCAGCGCTGTGGCATAGCGGGTAAAGCCACTGCCTGCAGTGCCGGCATCCCACATGGGTGCCGATTGGAGTCCCTGCTGCTCCACTTCCGATCCATCCCTCTGCTATGGCCTGGGAAAGCAGTAGAAGATGGCCCAAGTCTTTGGGCCTGTGCACCCATATGGGAGACCTGGAAGAAGCTCCTGGCTCCTGGCTTCAGATCGGCCCAGCTCTGGCCATTGTGGCCATTTGGGGAGTGAACCAGCGGATGGAAGACCTCTCTCTCTCTCTCTCTGCCTCTCTCTAACTCTGCCTTTCAAATAAATAAATAAATCGTTAAAAATAAAAAGGCATACTTCAACACCTGCATGTAATTTGCAGTTGAGGAGTTAGGGACTTGCCAGAGGTCACGCTGTTCGTGCCAGAGCCAGGACTAACTAGATGGGCCATCGGGAAGGGAGGGAAGCCTCCGTGGCACATCGTACTGAATACAGGTGAAACGGAGGCTCAGCCGCTACCTTGTGCTTGGTGGCTCTAAAGCTAACTGAACATTTTGCTGGAATAAGGCCGCAGTACCAGGGCCTATCTGCCACTGAAGCCAGTGAAAGTGATCAAGATATGGGTGAACTCTAACTTAACAAAAAAAAAAAAAAAAAAGAGTAGGCTCCAGCATGGAGGCACAGTGGATAAAGCCAGTGCCTGGGAGTCCAGCATCCCATATGGGTGCTGGTTGGATTCCCAGCTGCTCCATTTCTGATCCAGCTCCCTGCTAATGGCCTGGGAAAAGCAGCGGAAGGTGGTCCAAGTGCTTGGGCCCCCGCTACCCATGTGGGAACCCCAAAATAAGCTCCAGCCTCCTGGTTTCTGCCTGCATTGTGGCTATCTGGGGAGGGAACCAGTGGATAGATCTCTCTCTTTTCCCTCTCTCTCTTTCTCTCTCTCTCTCTAACTCTGCCTTTCAAATAAGTAAATAAATCTTTGAAAAGAATAAACAAATAAAATGAAGATCTGTGTAGTTCTAAGACACAGCTTGGGATACCTGCATCCCATATCAGAGTGCCTAAGTTCAAGTCCCCCGCTCTGCTCCTGCTAATACAACCCCGGGAGGCAGCAGTGGTAGCTCCAATACTTGTGTCTCTGCCACCTGTGTGGGAAACCTGGATGAGGTTCCAGGCTCCCAACTTCAGCCTGGCCCAGTTCTGGGTGTTGCTGGCACTTGTGAAGTGAACCAGCAGATAGGAGACTCTCTCCCTCTCTGCTTTTCAAATAAGGAAGAAGAGAAACAGAAATTTAGGTGGGAACTCAGTGAAAGGAAATTAAGGAAATGCCAATCTGGAATTTGTTTAAGACTTACGCCTTTTTTGAAATTTTCTCTATAAAGAATCTAGCCCAGGGACCGGCATTTGGCCTGCCAGTTAAGACGCCGGCATTCCGTATCAGAGTGTAGGAGTTCGAGCAATAGCTGTGTTCCGGATTCCAGCTTCCTGCTAATGCAGACACTGGGACACAGCTGGCGCTGGTTGCAGTAGCTGTGCTCCTGCCACCCACGTGAGAAGCCCAGGTTGAGTTCCTGGCTCCGAGTTTGGGGTGGGGCTGCCTTTGCCGGCATCTGGGGAGTGAACCAGTGGAAGAGAGCTCTGTCTTTCTATCTCACTCTGCTTCTCTCCCTCTGTCTCTCTGCCTCTTAAATAAAAATTTAAAAGGGTCTAGTTCAAATATTTGCAAAGCCAAGAAATAAATTAGGTGCATTTATATGTTTATACTATTAATTATGCTATTGTTTCTCTATTTTTCGAGAAAAAAACACACCTGACCAGCTCACGATTCCAGTAAGCTTTCAGGACCTGCCTCTACAGCTCCTCCGAGATACCTGCCTCCAAAAATAATGACTCAGAATCACCGTCACCTTCGTCCCGGTGCACTGCTGCGCACTCATTTCTTGGGCTTTATTTCCCCTCCCCCTGCTCTGTTTGTTCTCTCTTGAAGGGCAGGTCACTGCTCTGTTCTCAGCTCACTGTAAAACACACCCCTCTGGTCTCTGGACTGTGGCCTATTCCCGTGTTCACACCCACAATCCTCCTGCAGGAACTTCCAGGAGAAAGGTCTTTGGCGGACTTTCCCTGGTGCTCAGTACCGATTGCCCGCAGCTGCCACTGTTACCTCAGCAGCCTGCCAGTATCTGCTCTGCTTGCACATCTTGACTTAGGCTTCCTCTGGTGGAAAAATATGGCCCCGGGCGTCTTGCAGAGCCCATTGGATGTGTTTGTCCATGTCACCAGGGCTGTTCCCCATGATCTGAAATGCTAGCTTTTTCTGTTGGCATATAAGGGACTCCTGGCCCCAGCCATCTAGCTTCACACCTTTGCCGCAGTTACTGTGTATCTTCTTGATTTCATGCTAATGCAATGTTGTAATGTGTTCCCTCCATGGGGAATGCACATCTCCCACATCCCTTTAGCCTTCTGGTCAACACTGGAGGCTACCTTCAGCTCTGGATGAAAGTGTTATGGAAATACGTTTGCCAGTTTTTACTCCAAGTTCTGTCCCCAGTGAGACAAGAATTCAAAGCAGAGGTGTAAATACGGTGCCTAATTGAGGGCAGGGTTTATTTGAAGAGAGTGGCAATGCATTCAGGCGTGAGTATGGGCAGCCCCGCAAAGAGAAAAGCTTGCCATGGGAGGCCAGAGAGCGGCCCGTGAAGAGAGAGAGGGAGAAAGGAAGAGAAAGGCCAAAAGGGCTGCTCCCTCATCCAGCAATGGCCTTTATGGAGTAGGGGTGGTGCCCTGACTGAGTATACAGATGAGTGGGAGTGCGTGAGGTTTTCTGGCGGCTTCGTGGAGTTTAGCTTTCACTTGTTCATCTGCTCCTCCTTCCCCGTTCCAGACACAGGTGCATCCTGGGAAAGTGGGCATACTGGATTGGCACCCAAGGGGATGTGGTGGAATGCAGGGCTGCACAGACAGAAGTTGTGGGGAAATCTTCCTGCTCGTATCAGAAGTGGCTTGTTTTTCCCTTGGATTCCCATTGAACTTTTGAGTCAATTCCACTTCCCTCTCTTTCACAAGTAATACATATTTATG